CTGGTACCTTTTGTGTCTCTCAGTTGGTGTAACAGCCGCCAGGGTCACCCATACGCTTCCAGTACTTTGTTCTTTTTCAAAAACTACATATTGAAAAGTGAAATCATGAAACTTTCTGGTTAAGTTGATGGAGCTGGAAAAAATTATACTGAATGAGGTCACCAAGGCCTGGGAAGACAAACCAACGCTGCACATTCTCTCCCATCAGCTGATCCCAGTTTCAAGTCATCTGTTGTGGAGTTTAACTTGGAGCACAAGTGGAAGCCAGGAAACTGGGAAGGGACACTGGGTGCTTTAGGGGAAAGGGGCGATCATAAATAAAACAAAAGTAGGCAAGTGAACCAGTGGGGGACAGGAAGGCTTAGGCAGGGAGGGGATTGGAGGGTGGGGAGGGGGTAACCCAGAGGAAGGGGATATGGAAGAGCCATGTGGAACCCTACTATCTCACAACTAAGTTAAAATGGTAATTGGAGAGACCGGTAGAACACAAGCAATGTGAAAAAAGACAGGGGTGGGGGGACACGAGAGGTTAAGGTTTGGGGGACACGAGAGGTTAAGGTTTGGGGGACACGAGAGGTTAAGGTTTGGTGGGGACACGAGAGGTTAAGGTTTGGGGCACACGAGAGGTTAAGGTTTGGGAGGACACGAGAGGTTTGGACTAGTACAGGGTGGGGTGGAAGGAGAGGACAGGAGCTACCCAAAACTAAGGACAGATGAAAAACTTTGTGGAAACCCATTAGTATGTAAGTTAATTTCAAATTTCATTTTTACAAAGGTGTTCAAACATAAATACCCTGAATTTGGTGGACAATGTCACTCTCAGAATCATTGGGCTTTTAAATAAAAATCGCATTGCCCGGGGCATGGACTACCTCCCTAGGAGTGATTTTCAGGCAGGCCCCAGAGGTCTCAAGCTACTGCCTGCTCTTGGTTACCCATCATAACTATGTGGTAAGAGCCTATTGCTGAAGACAGAACACACTTAACTACAGGACAGAAAACCAATCCCAAACCAACCAGGAATCGTCTTCCTTGCTGAACAGCACTGCTGAAGGGTATGCAGGCTGCTGGAGAAGAAAAGACATCAGTGGTTTTAGCCAGCATCAGATCCTGCACGCTGTAATACTAACCTTCCCGACAAAGTATGCCTCTGGTACAGCAGTGGAATGACTCTTGTGGGCTAACTGCTTTGTTTGTTTGTTTAATTAATTAACTAATTAGTTAACTTTTGGAGACAGGGTCTCTTTAGGTGGCATTGGATGTCCTAGAACTCAGTATGTAGATCAGACTGGCCTCAAACCAGAGACTCAACTGCCTCTGCCTCTGGGATTAAAGGCATGCACCACCACGCCCAGCCTGTTTTTATTGGACTTGAGGCCTGTTCTGCAGGAGAGAATTCATACCTGCTACTGTAGTTCTGGTCAGAAACTCACAGATAGAGAGGGTGCAGGTTGTGGAGTAGAACTTGCTATTATTATTTTGCTAAATTAAATTGTCTTGCTGTTAAATTAACTTTTGAATACTTACGTTTACATCCACAGACCTGGGCTGCTCTCAACCATGGTCAGAGAATCTTCTTTTGGAAGTGGGCAGCAGTCAATAGAGAATAGTATTACTGGTTAAAGATCTGGAAATAAATGACTGAGTTCTCAGCCCTAAACAAGATGTCTGGATCATTACCTGACCCTGAAGGCTCAGGGCATCACAGAAGAGGAGGTGGGAAGAGGAACACTATGAAGAGCACACTTCTGAACATGACTTTTTCCTGTACACAACTATCTCTCAACCCAACTGCCACCATCTTCAGGAGGTCAGATTGCCACAGCCAGCCTTGTTGACTGTTGACCTTCTCTCATAGAAGAAGTGATGGGAAGGGGCAGGCGACCCTCACCTTAGTAACTAGCCACTCCTCCAACAAGTCTGCCCTGATTGAATGTGGCCTTGTGGGAGCCTAGACGTTCATAGGCTGGGAAGAAGTGGGGAGAGCTCCATTATGGTGCCACAGGGGGTTGGGGTGGGGGAGTCCTCGTCAGAGTGGCATGCACATGCTCTGTGCAGCACTGCTCTGTCAGTAAGCCTGGTAAACTCATGGGTTTCCCAGCCTGAACTATGGTGGAACTCCACCTCAGGTTACTGCTGAGATCTTGGAAGAAACTGTGTCTCCCCACAGGTAAGGAATTTCAGCAACACTGGGCACTCAGGAACTGACAGCATCCGTGGTTTATGTGCCCAAGGCCAACCAAGCAAAATTCCAGCCTGGATAGGGGAGGCGCTCAAGAGGCCCCACCCCCAAGTTACTATTGACAGCTGATAACTGTTGGAGGAGGGGGAGTCATTCTTCTTTTGGGGCGTGGGCAGTGATAGGTTGTCCGTGTTCTAGTAAGTAACCCCATTCCCACGCACACACTGCAACACTAATTGGACTAAATGGTTATTTAAAAGAAGGAGGTGAGAGGAAAGAGGAGGGGAAGGGGGAGGGGGGAAGAGGAAGAGGAGAAAGAAATTAAATAGGGAAAGTAGTGTTTTAAGGGGGATCCAGAGGGAGATAGAAGGAGTAAATGGGAGGTGGGTGTGCCCATATTTCACTGTATATAAGTAGGAAATCCCCAAAAAATAAATTTTAAAAAGGAAATTTTGCTTTTTAAATGACTTAAGAGATACAGCAAGGCTAACACTCGGTGACACTGTACATTCATTTGGAAAGCGGAAAGAAAACGTTGGGAAGCTTTGAATCAAGTAGATTTAAACTAGATGATACTTCAATAAAAATAATAGTTCAGTTAAAATACATACTGTTGTTTTTTTAAAGCCATCTAAGGTATCGCTAATTTGTCTCTTAAAGTGCTTTCCATTCATCCTACCCTATGTGCTTCTTTCCACAGACATCTCTCCTGAATCTTGACCAGTCTTGCTCTAACAGGTGGATTACTTTGAGACAAGGTTTTTCTGGCTGTCACAGAATTCACTTTGTAGATCAGGCTGGCCTCAAACTCTCAGAGATCCAACTACCTCTGCCTCTTAAATACTGGAACCGAAAGTGTGCACCACCATGCCTGGCTTCAGCAACTGTCCTTATATAAAGGGCACTAGCAGGGCAATCCAAGCGGTGACCGTGGAGACCGAGAAGCTTCAGAGACCTAACACATGACAGCTGAGAGGTGTGAAGCAGGTAATTTAACCTCTCAGTGACTGTTTTCCCATTTGTAAGATCAGGATAATAATACTTTTGCTAATAAGGATTTGGGAGGACTAAATTATACTGTACATAAAACGTCTGGCACAGTGCTAACTAACAATCGCCTGAAGCTAGACTATAATAAACATCCTCCTGCCTCATTTACACAGTGTTCATAAGTCATATGATATTAACGACTATATATTTCTCAAAGATCATTTTTGAAGCAGGGTCACGCTAAGCAGCCCAGGCTAGATTTGAATACTTAATCCTTCTGCCTATACATGCTGGGATTATAGGCATAAGCCATCACAGATGGCTTTATTTCTGAAAACTTTTAGAAGAAACTTTTCATATTTAAGCCTAGAAAAGATTGGCTATCTACTTTAAATAAGTAACTGTTATTTCCTAAGGGGGAGGGGGAATCTTCCATCACCTGTTCATTAGATATGGACTGTGACCTTCGAGGGACTTCAGAACTAAAATCATCCCTCCTTTAGGATGTTTCCCTAGGGAGAGTAAGAGGACAAAACCGAAAATAATCATAACAGAAAGCAAAGTATACATCAATGCATCTATCAATTTAGTAAAGGGTGTGGTCTCTAAACTTGTGGTATGCAAGTTCAAATCTCAGCTGTGCAATGTTTGGCAAGTTATTTAGCTCCGCTGTGTTACCTCACTTTTAAAATGGGGACATCTACCCAGCAGGGAGCTGTATCAGTGATTAATAGCTAAAGTGCTGGATACTCAGTGTGTGCCAAGCACAAGTTAAATGTTCATGTGCAACAATGTCCACAATGCTGCTCCTACTATTAAATGCATTTTTATCAATAACGTAACCAGAGGGCAAAAAGTTTTAGCTAACTTGTCCAAGATTATGCAGTTGGCAAATAGCAAATGCCACAGGAAAAATTCAAGCATTTGAAAAATTTATGTGAGAATCAGCTATAGGCTTTTACAACAGAGCCTAGCATATGGATGATAAGCACAATCGCTGTGGTGATTCAGAAACAACAGTATATAAATTCTATGCATGACCTCCAAGGGAAGATTTCTGAAAGGTGACCTTTAAGCTTAGCCTTGAAGAGTGAAGACGATTTTAAAAGATGGGGATATTGTTAGGAGAGGGAATTTCAGAGTGGGGGGAGGAGGGATATGAAGTGCGAGGCAGAAGGGGTTAAAAGGGGGGTTATGAGAGTAATTTTGACTGGAGAAACATGTTTCCTTCCCCCCAGCCAGTCACCGCCGGCTCGTGCGTGCGTGGTATGTGCTCCCTCAGTGCATCTCTTATCACCGCACAATGTGCTGTCCTCACCTTGCAATTAACCACTGAATAGTATTTCAGACTGACTCCAAGAACCTGTTCCACACTGTAATTAGTATCCTCTCCACATGCCTCCGAGGCCGCAAGACTGCAGTCTTTCCTCCTGTGTCCAGATACATTTTATTTTCTCGAGTATCCTGTCGGAGCCTTTCTCTAACTCACCATCTCAAGCTTTGTCTCTGTGCAGGCGGCACTCAAGCCTCCACGTCTGACATAAGCACTTACTAAAAGAATGTGCCCGAACTCGGTTCTGTGCTATTTCTTGCACAGAGGAGCTTCCCCACCCCGGACGGCTGCTTGCAGCGTTTACCCCAAGGCAGACGCACACACTCCCCGCGGCGCCTGCACCTGCTGGAGCCGTTATAAGCCGCCAGCCTGGGAGGAAGTGGAAGGGCTGCGAGCCGCGTCCCCGCCGCCATCTTGGCCGAGCAAGCCGGAAGTGGCGAGCCCGGACTGCGGCTGCGCGGCCGTGGGCGGGTGTGGGGCTCGCGGCGACCTCTTGGTGCTCCCGCCGCCGTCTTCCCCGGCCTGTTCTCGCAGTCTCTAGGGTGGCATGCCGGGCACCGCCTGCCCGAAGGCATAGGGCAGAAGCTTGAGACTGCGACAGTCCTGCCGTCTCCCGCCGAGGGCGAGCCCAGGTCCTGGCTGCCTCCCAATGCCATCTGATAGGACTGCCGCCGGCTCAGTGCTGTTTCTGCTGGTGAAAGACAGGAAGAAGGGCCTCATCGCAAGTCCCAAGACGGTGAAACAATTATCGGAGACTTGAAGGGTTTGCACCGGAAGATCACCTCAAGGGCCGCAAAACATCGCGGTACGTTTTTGCTTTCCAGCTGAAACAGCTCCATCGCAGACACCACACTTACATCCTGACCAACAGGTTAAAACCTCTTGAGGGGTTGGAGGAGGATCTGGGAAGAGATGGCCGCAGATTAGGTCTCTTAGTAATGATCATGGGTCTTATCTACATGAAAGGTAATAGCACAGTTGTGAGAGATGCTGAGTTGGTTGTGGGGTGCTTCCATCAAAGAATCTTATGTGGGTACTCAAAAAGGCTTATTGTGGAAGGTTCTGTTCAGCAGCGATGCCTTAGTTACAGGCAGGTGCCTCACACCAAACCGTCGGAATATGAATTCTCTTGTACTCCCCAAAGCAACCTGGAAAAATCACCAAGATGGAAGAAGTGGGGTTCGTGCCCAGGCTTCAGAAGAGTGAACCGCTGTATTGTCCAGAGCTGAGGCTACATAGGACCACCCTCCACTATGGCCACCCCCCCCACCGGTGGTGAGGGTTGGGGAAAGGTGGCCAGTGAGGGCCTAGTGGGCTTGGTATCTACTGCCTTTGAGTTGTAAGTAATGTCATTTCTGAGAAAATTGGAAGCTTTAGTTTTTAGATCTTATATGTTAGGCTTTGTTACTTTTAATATATTAAATTGGTATTTATAAATGAGTCTGTTCTTTTTTCTATGGAATTTTGTTATAGTTTTGCTGATTTTGTAAAACGAGCCGTAAAACTTTGTATGTTATTCTGTGGTTCTGAGTGCATTGTGCAACATTGTAATTTCGGTCCTTGACTGGCATGAAGGGACTCAGCAGGTTGATAAGGGTGTGTGTGTGTGTGTGTGTGTGTGTGTGTGTGTAAGCTTATTTGATGCCCAGCCTCTGACATTTTTCATGTTTTATTACAAAAAAAAAAAAACAGTATGTACTTCTATTTACCTATATTATAATGCTCTATAAAAAGTGAAAATACAGTAAATGAGAAGCATATCCTGGTACACTTAATAAACTTGTTGAACATTTTACATTTTGTGTTGCATAGTTAAAGATACTTGGGAATAGAATACGTCCTGTGTTTCGTGGGAATAGTAAATAAACCAGAAATGACCGTACAGTGAGTGAAATGTCACAGAGGGATATGTGATCTAGCTGAGGTGGTTGAATGAAGCTTGCTTAAGGTTACCTTTAATCCCCTCAGACTCTGGGGGAGGCCAGGAGAAGGAATAAACATTTAAGAACACTGATCATTTTCGGTCACATAACCCTCCTTGGGAACTCTCATTCTACAGGTAGTGTGTTAAGCGTGCACAATGACTGTGACCATCATCAGTTCGGTCCTCACTACCTTCCTTCTCTCAACCCCTCTAAGGGTCCCTGTTCTAGCAACACCTTCAGAAGCCAAATAGTGCCTGAAATATATAGATAGTGGAAACACATCTTCTCTCTTCCCACCAAGAAGCTCCACCTCAAGATCCATCCCTGGCACCAGGAAGCCCAGTGTTTGTGTTCTATGGATCAATCTGCCGCTTTCCTACTTAGTGGAGACATATAGACACCCTCATATTCTCAGTACCCATGGAGATTAGCTCATGGACTCTGCAGTATAGACTACCTCCCTTCACTCTGGGAAGTTATCATCAGGGGACCTGAAAGGAGTGGAACTCACTAGAGATAGGTATTAGAGAGCTGTGTCCTTAGAGTGGCCATAATAGAAAGGCTGTTTCCTATTTATCAACGACTTTTTCTGCTACTTTTATATTCAAATAGTATGTCTTGAGTATGGTAAGGTTGTCAAGGAACATATTTTAGGACAGGAGCTCAGGGATTCAATGATTCAGATCCAAAAAATCAGAACAAAATCTTTCAGTTAATAGGCAGTTTAGTAATGATTAAAAACGGCTCCTGGGTAGTTTATAATTCATGTGGACGTGACCTTATGGGTACCAAGTTAATTACAATGGGAATAATACTTTTGCCTTTAAGGAGCAATACCTTCTCTCAGGCAGAGGTCAGAAGCATGAGCATCGAGGATCGAATTACTTGATTTTGTATCGGTCACTTGGTTAAAGTATCAAGGCAGAACCCAGGTCTCTTCCAGCCAGGCCAGGGTGCTCCATTCTAGCACCACGGCCCCACACATCTCCAAGAACTAGAGAGACCTTCAGCTGCCTCTCTGCCTTTAAAGGAATGAGGTAGAGAACACTGAATTTTACTGGTAACAAACTGCTTTGCTCAGGGTCACACATGTAAAGACATGGCAGAGACAAGACATTCATTAAACATTTGTTACAAGCCAAAGGCGTTTTCCACTACTTTTGACAAGCACACTGCAAAGTATTACTAAGTATCTACATTTTAGATACACTAAAGACAGTAATGCCACTTACTCAATACCCCAAATGAGACAGCTCTATGTTTTACATGCTTGTAACCATTTTAGAGGGAAGATAGGATCTTCCATTTAACTAAGCCCACAAGTGCAACACTGTAGAGCTCTCACAGACAGACAGAATGGGATTGCAGTTGAAGTCTTACTGAGTCAAGAGTTTACACTTTGCATTATTGTAGCTGTTCTTAGAGTTCCTACCAGCCTTGGGGTGTCTGTCACAGACTCATCCTTCAAACACTGCAGTGTTTCTTAAGATACAAATTAAGACCCTTAGCTAAGGTAATTACAATAAGACATTGGCCTGCAGAAATACGAAAGCAGGCAGCTAAGGTTAGGGAACTTTGATCCCAGCTGTGGATATTTTCAGGGCTCTCTAAAGAGTGTTGGTTATACATCAAATATATAGTTTGCTCAGGCTTAGCTTTACTTTTGTAAGCCATCTTTTCTCAGTCTTCAGTCTCCCATTTCTAGTAAGACCAAATTAGTCTCTCGTGCCACTGAACAACAGAATATTTTCAACCTGCAAACGTGATCCCCAAGTGTGTTGTAGATCCCCAAGTGATAGTAGAAAGTCTGGCAGAACTTGTACCCTTGCCTCAGGATGAAAGATGTCCCGTGTCACAGGTGCCCTCATTAACGCTAGAGAAGGAGAGTGTGGCCTCTAGGTCCATGTGTGCAGCAGACACTAGCAATGCAAGTCAATAGATGAAACCCCCCTGTTGTTCATGGACACTCACATGGGTGGGAAGAAAGGCCTGTCAAGTATGGCTAGGAAGCAAAGCCAGTGGAGGAAACGGTAAAGACAGTGACTTTCATGGTGGACAATGGGATGATATTTCTGCTGTAAGAACTCTTAACAGGGATTTATTTAGTGATGTTGGGGATTGAACCCAGTATCTTAGGCATGCCAGGAAAGTACACTACCACTGAACTACATCTCTAGCCCACAGAAACAGTATCCTAGGATGCAGCCCAGCCTGGCCTGGAATGCTATGTAGCTGTGCTGGCTTCAAATTCCACCTCCCTGTTGGGATTACAAATATGACGAAATACCCAGCTCTTCAGGGATTTTGATGCTACAGTCAGGACTCATGACCTACTGGAACTTGGATAACAGGTGTTTGGAAACAGCCTTGGGTTGATTGCAGCCATCCCAAGATCTAGCAGGCACATAGTGCTCCAGAGGTGGCAGCTCATTTGTAGCTCATACAAGTCAGGCCTCAGTTCATGGGCCCAGCCCCAGTTTCCACTTGAGGTAATTATTTTTCATGCCTTGGTCATGGTGGCAATTGATACTTATGTAAATTATACCTCAAATTGTGCAGCCCAGCAAGGATGGCAACAATTACCTCCCGGCAGATTCAGGCATAATAAGGAAGTTAGGCATCCTGAAACGTATACTGATCAAGGCCTTTTAGAAGTCATGGCTATGTGACCTTGAACAAGGAGTCCTATTCTCATTGCAGGTCTAGGAAACAGTTTGAAGTAAAGGTGAGTGAAATCCAGACCCTACACCCCGGTCTACCAACTGAAATAGACTTTGACTGCCTCCCAGTCAATAACTATAGCAGCTAGCGATCGCTAAACCTTTGTGCCAGGCATGGTGCTGAAATGATAACCACATGGTCTCATGCATCTGCACAACGGCCCTGTGAGGCAGATTCCACATTGTCAACATTGAGATCCAATAAGAAAACCACAGGAAAGAATATTTCTACCACTCTCTCAATACTCAAGTTGGATGCCTGGGGTACTTAGCGAGGCCCTGCCTAAAGAAGGAAAAAAAAATGGGGCTGAGAGGGAAGGAAGGGAATGCTCAGGTACTGCCCATCGTATTCCAACCTGGGCTGGGAAATAGAAGCAGTGGGCAGTAATGAAGTATTTGTTAAGTTGGCTTCTCTGGTTGAGGACTCCGAGAAGACAGCCAACTTTTGAGGGATAATGCCCCTGAGACATCTCCAGGGGGCCTTGTGTCCATGTGGTGGGGGAGGAGCATCCAGTACCTGAGCCATCCCTGAAAGTAAAGTAAAAGGCAGACCAGGCTCTTGGAACTCTTACATTGACCCCCAACCCCATTTTGCTTATGGATAACAAGTTGGCCTCAACTGGGATTTTAACATCTCCTACTTTGGGGTCTTTGACACAGACAGTGCTACCTACCTAAAAACACCTGCAAGACTAGACTTAGAAAAAGATCTACCAAAGCTCCTCCCACTGTATCTGCTACATGGCAAATACTGTTGTTATGACATGTATCACTCACTCCACAGATATGTATTGAGCAACTTCTAGACGGCCAGTGTACACACAGGTGAGAAGTTTACAACAGAGAACAAACTGGATAAACATCCTTGTCCTCAAAGAGCTGGTGAGCTAGAGCAAGGAGAGTAAGCTAGGTCTACACAGCATGCAGGACAGTGATCTATGCTATAAGTGGGGAGGAAGTAAGGACTGGGAGAGTGTGGGAGAGAACCCACAGAGAATTCCTAAGAATGCTAAGAAGTCACATTTGAGTCATGAATGAAGCAGGAAGTGCAGTTGCTGACTACAGGTGAGGGTGGGGTCCTTGGCAGAGGGAATGCCAAGCCTGAAGGCCCAGGTGGCAGCAGGCCAGGTGTAGCTAGAAACATAGCTCCAGCAGGAGTCAGTGGGGGGTTGGGTGAGAGAGGTTTCTTAGCTAAAGGGGCTACAAGACTACTGTTTGTTGGTCTGCACTGACTGCTGGCCCAACCCTGGACCCCAGAGCTCCTGTAGGACCCACGTTAGGGACACAGCTTCGGCTGGACTGGAAGAGAATGGATAATGAATATATCCTCCATAGCTTTGGCTTTTCTAATTCTGGATGCTTAATGGTGGGGAAATTGGAAGATTTTTTAAAAATACAAAAAAATGGATGATGATGGCGGTGGCGGCGGTGGTGGTGGTGGTGGTGGTGGTGGTGGTGGTGGTGGTGGTGTGTGTGTATTTGTAGTGAATTACCTCTACTGGTAGCAGTGGGAAGCAGCCATGATTAGTAGTGTATAATGGTTCTCCGTGTCCAGCATGCTTTATTTTCACTTACCTGAGTATAAATGACCTCTGCAGTTGTTTTTAGATTTACTTTTTTTTAAAGGGTTTTTTATTTTTATTTTTATTTTTATTTTTATTTGTTTTATGTGAGTACACTGTCACTGTCTTCAGACACACCAGAAGAGGGCGTTGGACTCCATTACAGATGGTTGCGAGCCACCATGTGGTTGCTGAGAATTGAGCTTAGGACCTCTGGAAGAACAGTCAGTGCTCTTAACCTCTGAGCCATCTTCCAGGTCCTGATTTACTTATTTTTAATTTTATGTGTATGAGTGTTTTGCCTGCATGTATGTCCACCATATGTGTGCAGTGCCCTCAGAGACCAGAAGAGGGCATTGGATCTCCTAGAGCTGGAATCAGAGGCCATTGTGAGCTATGGGCTCTGAGTGCTGGGAATCAAACCCAGGTCCCATTCAAAAGCGACAAATGCTCTTTTTCCTTTTCTTTTTTTCTTTTTTTCTTTTTCGACACAAGTTTCTCTTTGTAGACTAGGGTCAGCCTTGAACTTAGAGAGCCAGCTGTCTCTGCCTCCTGAGTGCTGGGATTAAGGGCCACCACTATTGAGCA